AGGTTACACTATAGTTTAAAGAGTTTGTAATACTATTGATTGAAAGCAAATTTATAGGAAGTTGAGGCACATGCAATACACAATTTAGGTTAAGGCCATGGAGAAGGGATATTGATCCTTGGCCTGCAATGGAGGAGAATGATCCATCTGCAAGCCTCACTTTATCCCTTCCTGACAAAAGGTTATAAGTCTGAAACAAGTTTGGCTTACCGGTCATGTAGTTAGAGGCCCCTAAGTCAATGATCCAAGGGGAGTCAGTGGTAGTGGTGGCATGGAATGCAGAGGCCGCATTACCTGATGTAGACGCAAATGAAGTAGGAGTACCAGTAACTGAATTATCCATTTGCCGCAAAGCCCTACCATATGACTCCAAGTGATCTCTGAAGGAATTCATGATATCTTCCTTGGGGTCAAAACCAATCAAGTGGTCCCGCGTAGTACCAGCAAACTGAGTATCCTGGGTTGCTACATGTGCTGCATTATGTGTTGTATTCGGCTTCTTCTGACCTTGCACTTTATCCTGTTCTTGGTTCTTCACTGCCCACTTGGGCTTCCCGTGAATCTCCCAACATGTGTCACGAGTATGTCTCGAGCACCGACAGTGGGTTCAAAACAACTTATCTTTATCATCAGCCTTCTTGGAGTCACTTTTCTTGCCCATGTTGTTATTACCCATTGCAGTCAATGCTACTTGTTGCTCTCCCTCAATTGAAATCATCACATTCCGCCTACTTTCCTCAGATTGAACTAGAGCATACACCTCTTGAACCAAAGGCAACTCTTTACTTCCTAAGATCTTAACTCTCAAGGGTTCGTAAGCAGGGTTGAGTCCCAACAAGAATGCAAAAACACGCTGCTGAGAAAATAACTTCTTATAGGCCTTAGCATCATCATAATGTTTCCATTCTATAGTCTGATAGTAATCCAATTCCTTCCACACCGAAGTAAGGGCTGAATAATAGGCAGACAAACTACGGTTCCCCTGTTTATAGGTTGAGGATTCAGCTTGCAACTAGTAAATCTTGGCATAATCCCTTTGCTCAGAATAGGTGGTTTTGGCCTGTTCCCAAATCTCACTAGCAGTCTCTGCCCACATAAAGTTCTTCTTCACATTGGGTTCCATGGCTGCAAGGAGCCAAGACATCGCCATACTGTTTTCTTGGTCCCACCTATCATATTCAGCTGTCTCACACTTGGGTTCTTTCACTCTTCCATTTATGTAACCAACTTTTCCCCTTGCTATTACATAGAGTTTCAGACTTTTAGCCCTCTCCAGGTAGTTGAGGCCATTTAGAGGGGTAATTGGCATGGGAAACACCACTTCACCACCCATACCAGCTGTGCTACGGATTGGTGTAACTCCAAATGATGCTGGATCATAGTTTGCCATTGGGGGAGAAGGTCTACACTACAAAAAACAGAATCACAAGTGTACCAGACCTGATCCCACACAATCAGAATGCTAAACCCCCAAGAATTCTACTTCTGGAATGAGAAGAAAACACTACTGAAATCAGTCCAGATATTAGTCTAATTCCACTACAGCAACCAGTAATCAGTTCAGTAATGGTTCAGCCAGAACATTAGAACTACAGCCCAGAAATCAGTTCAGTTCAACTACAGCACATACTCGTCTGTAATAAAAAAATAAAAAAAAATACTCCTGTCAAACACCTGCATTGGCCACAGAGAAAAAAGAGGAATACATACCCCTGTCCAGCATCTGTTCGAAGGTGCAAACCCAGAAACTAATTCTCACTGCATCGAACAAGGAGAAGAAAGGTGTTTACAGCATCACCCTTCTTCTACTAGGGCTTCCTTGGTGTTACGACCAAGGGGGACCCCAAAGAAAGCAGCGGCAAGTGGCCTGATCAGTCCGATTAGGTTTCTTTGTCCTCCACACGTCCAAGAGATCAAGAGAAAAAGAAAAGAGATTCATTATTGTCAGAACCTTGCTCTGATACCATGTAATTTTTCCTGGATAGAGAGAAACGAGAGAAAAGAGAAGAGAGAGGAGAAGAGAAGGGAGTGAGAGATTCTATTGGGAACCAAAAACTGTAGCTGGCCGGTTCCCAACTTATCATTTATATTTACTTAATATAAAGAATAAGAGAAAAATACAATTATGCCCCTAGCCACTCCCTACTAACAAAACAAATAAGAAGAAAATAAAAGACACTAGCTGACAGCATCTTAGGCTGACAGCATGTTATCAACAACTATAAAATAACAAAATAAACAACTCTTACAACAAAGATAAAGCCATGTATCAAAGACTGGTTGGAAAGCTTTTCTACCTTTGCCTAACACGACTGGATATTTCTTATGTTGTCAGTGTAGTCAGTCAGTATACACAGTCTCCCAGAACATCCCATCTTCTTTCAGTTGAAAGGATACTTGCCTACTTGAAGAGGTGTCCAAACAAAGGTATACTCTTCAAGAATAATGGTCATATGAAGATAGAAGTGTACATTGATGCAGATTGGGCTGGCTGTGTGGGTGATAGATCTACCTAAGGGTACTGTGCTCTTGTTGGAGGCAATCTGGTCTCTTGGAAAAGTAAAAAACAAAATGTTGTTGCCCACTCTAGTGCTGAAGCAGAGTACAGATCTATGGCTAATGGGGTGGCTGAAGTGTTATAGCTGAGATCACTACTTGAGGAGTTAGAGGTTGAATAGAAAGGCCACTAGTGCTGTATTGTGATGACCTGACTGCTATTAATATTGCCCATAATCCCATACAACATGATAGAACCAAACATATTGAGGTGGATTGACATTTTATTAGGAAAAGAGTTGCCTCCCAAGAAGTTTGCCTTCCGTATATTGCCTCTGATATGCAACTTGCTGATATCTTCACCAAAACAATTACAATTTACAAGGGTCAAGTTAGAGATATATTTATGCAAGTTGGGAATGACCAATACCTATTCCCAACTTGAGAGGGAGTGTAGAGAAACAATATGGTAGTTATTTCTTTATTTTATCTGTTTGGGCCTTGTCATGGTACATGGTTGATTAGGAACACAACCGTGAGATTTGCATCTCACCAAAACCAAATAGGAATTGAAGCACACACCATAAGACTTTCATAAGACAACAAAACACATAGAAGTTGATTGTCACTTTGTGAGAGAGAAGGTTCTTAGTGGAGTAATAAGTACAAAATATATTAACACAGGAAGCCAATGGGCAGATCTATTCACCAAAGGGTTGAGTTGGGCGAGAGTAGGCTAAATATGTAACAAGCTAGGATTATATGATATATACTCTCTAGCTTGCGGGGGATTGCTAGTGTCGATTATATAGGGGCAGATTAGTCTTTTTGTTTATGTTTAATATGAAGTGTAATGTTGAGTTAGGTGATGTGTCCCATACTTAAGTAGGGGCACAAGAGTCATTTTGCTCTATAAAATAGAAAGCTAAATACATCCTGGCCGAATGGAGAGATTTGATTTTTCTCTCTTGTTCGAACCAGACTTCTCTCTTCATTCTTCTTTCTTCCCTCTCTTTTCTCTTTCTCTCTTCTTTATCTTTTCTTCTCTGGTTAATCTGAAACCAACAGGTATACAGATCTGAACTTTATTAAACACCATTAGAGTATTGTTGTCACTTGCTGCAATTTTCTCATGGCCATTGCTTCAGATGGGTGTTAAGAATGCTTTTCTAAAATGGTGATCTGTAGGAGGAGGTATATATGGAATTGCCTCTTGGATTTTGTGAAATGGATGCTGGAAAGAAAGTCTGTCAGCTGAAGAAAGTTATTTTTTACGGGTAAAAAGAAAATTTCATTAAAATAAAAACTGAATACAGATGGCAGTAGGTGTTGAGACAACACTTAGCAACACAATACAGTTATAACAAAAACAAAAGAAAGAAAATTGAATAGAGAAACACACTCTCCAAAGATCTTACATCAAAACTTGAAACTCTTGATCCAAAACCCCAAACCTCGTTGAAGAAGCCCAATGCCAGCTCCCCAACATTTAATCTTCCATTCCAAAAGTTTCTTCCCAACCGTCCATCCTCATTCCATGCCTCTCCTCCTTCATCTACTATGAACTCCTTTAGCCTCTCCTCCTTACTCCTTTTGAAAGCTTCAAATGCATGTTTAGCAAACCCCTTACCACCCATAAAGAACAATGCTAAACTCTTGCCAACATTGACATCTGTTGTAGCTAAACTCTCGATCTCCACAAGACCTCCTCCCTTTTCTCCCCTGGTGATTGGAAAAGCCTCATCAGATTTTTTTTCTTCCAAACCTCCACCATCCTTATTAATACCCTTTGACCCAATGGAAAGCCCCACCCTTTTCTTAGGAACTCCAACCAAAAGAGACCCCCCTATCCATCACCTTTGAACCCGGCCTCTTGACTGGTCTCCTTGATCGGAACCTTGAATTTTGTTCCCATATTTCTTTTTCCTCCCCTTTTTCTTGTAGAGTTTTTTGAATTTGTTTGTTGGACCATACCCAACCAGATCCTCTTTCAACCTTGAAAATATTTTTGTAACACGAACCATTTGAAAATTATTGGCAGCTTGACAAGTATAGTCAGTCATGTACAGGAAGGTCTTGAGGTCTTTAATACCCTTACCCGCACTCCCAATGATTAAAGTGTCATCTACTTAACAACTTAAAGAATCTGTCCAAGTTTAGAATTACATTAAAAACTTAGTATTCATTATTCTTATTGGCATCTCCATAAATCCAGAGTAAAAACAACATTACTAAAGTTTTCAAAATCACACACATTGGAGACCTCTAGCCATAAACTTCTTTCATCATGTAACATAACTGAACACTCCTCCTGAGCAACAAAATGAAGAGGCTGTTCCTTATAAGCTTCTCCAATAAATCAATATGGAGAACACATTTTGTATTTGACATAAAAATGACTGCAAACTTTGTTAGGATATATTTGCTTCAAACCACTGTTCAAAAAGCATGTATATTTTCTTCAAACCAAGTATCATTGATAGAAACTTATATTTGTATTTTAGCATGTAGTCGTGGATCTGGAAAGCATCCTCAACTTATTCCATCAACTCCAAGATGGGCTGTTGCCAATGGTGCTGCTGTTATTCTAAGTGTTTGTGATGATGAAGTTGCTCGCTATGAGACTGCAACTCTGACAGCAGCTGCTGTACCTGCACTGTTGCTTCCTCCTCCAACAACACCTCTTGATGAGCACCTAGTGGCTGGATTGCCAGCTCTTGAGCCCTATGCACGTTTGTTTCATAGGTAGATATTTAGACCTTTGTTATTCTTTCACTGAATTTTGTTGGTAATATTTCTGAAGGCTGCTGTTTTGGTTGTTAGATATTATGCAATTGCTACTCCAAGTGCCACTCAAAGACTTCTGGTTGGACTTCTGGAAGCACCTCCATCATGGGCTCCAGATGCACTGGATGCTTCTGTACAACTTGTTGAGCTTCTTAGGGCAGCTGAAGATTATGCATCTGGTGGAATGAGGGTAAGTTGGACTTGAAAGCTCACAATCATCTAATTTTCCGAAATGCAATGCTAATCATGTGTTCCATATGGAATTTGCAATCTTTTGTGTTTTTTCCTCTTTCCAATTCCTCATTCCGTTATTTCATGCCTGTGATGGGAATGCAAGTGTTGATATTTAATGACCACAACTCTTATTGTGGTGATATTTTTCTTCTAGATTGGACTGTTTTATTTCCATTTAAGGCATTGCACTTGTTTGGATAAATAACTGAAACATTTTATTAAAAGTTATCAAGGGTATTACAGGGTAGCAATTACTACCCTATCACTACATAAGCAAACAATTTACAATCAGGTCGAATATAATTGGTTTCTGCTAACCCCTTGCTTAGCTAGATTATCATCCATCCCATTATCAGATTTTTGTACCCATTATATCTTTATATTCATGCTCCTTTCCAGCCATTTAATCTGTTTAAGTTCATTTCTGTGTACCCTCGCTATTTTTCAGCCACCCTGTTACAACCTTGGAATCACCTTCTATCACTAAATTAGTGAGATTCATTTCCTTTGCCCACTGCAGTCCACGAAGTACAGCATAAAGCTCAACTTTTATGGAGTTCCCAAAGCCAATGGGTCCTGTAAACATAGCAATGATATGTCCTTCCATGTTTTTAAATACACCTCACATACTCAAGGGACCTGGATTTCCTACACTGCTCCCATCAAAGTTCAACCTAATGAATCCCTCCTCTGGGAGTGTCCATTATTTATGGACTTTTGGTTTCTTCTTGGAGGATGCAGCCACCTGTCCCCATTTTCTCCACAAATCATCTCACAGATGAAAATAAAGAAAACTTCATCTTGAACAGGTCAACTGCATTGGTAATTTCCCCATTCCTCAACCCCCCTTGAAACTCTAGATCCTAGTCAAAACCCCTAGTGAGGAAGGTGAAATAGAAGCCACAAATTTTGAAATAGGTTCTTTTTTGAAGGCGGAGATAGAAAACAGAGAGGGGAGAGAGAAGAGTTACCCATATATCTTCCTAAAAGTGAATTTTATTACCTGATAAGGTTTTAGAAACTCTGGAAGAATACCATGTATAGCCTTCCAAGGAGAGGTCAGGATACCCAGTGTGATAAACTTGCATCCCATCCATTTACAAACATCCCATGAATGCTTGACACCACTTTGCTACACAATCTTTCATTTTCCAAAGGCAACCCCAACAGACACTTACCCAAGAGTGATGAGTTCTTTATACCCAATTCCTCAATCCCTAGTCCACCATGGTTTTACTCCTACATACTGCCTCCCATCTTAACAAATGGTTCTTTTTTCCTTCTCCCGGTTCCCATAAGAAATCACTCATTTTATGTTCTATCTCCTTTGCTATCTTCCATGGGATTCTAAGATTGAAAGGCACTAAATTGGAAGATTTACACCAGTGGATTTTATTAGGGTTATTTTACCATCCCTTGTCCAAGTTGTCAATTGCTTCCGCACTTTCTTCAAAACAGAATTCCAAAAGCTTCTCTCCCTTGGATTGCCCTTAAAGGAAGACCCATTCATAGGCCATTGGCTAATAGAGTTTCACCACCAACCTTTGAGCTTAGTTTATCCTCCCCCACATTAACCCTTTATATGCAACTTTTGGAAAGTTTATCCTAAGGTTTGATATCCATCCTCTGAAAGAGCTTCACCACCAACCTCAAATTCTTCACTTGTTGCTGTGCACTGTCTATGGCATTGCATTATTACTAGACCTTTGGCAGTTGAGAAGATATGGAATTTAAGTCTTACAAATATGCATTAGCTTAAATGATGAATGGTTTTCCAATGTTAGAAGAGTAACAATAGTATGAGTTTAATAGTTTTATGAACGGAGTTGCTTTGGAATGGGGAGTCAACGAGCAGGGTGTAGCATTAGTGCATGTAGTTGGACCTTTTATCTTTGTCATTGTTTCTCTGGTGGGAGTGCTGGAGTGGGAATTGTTTCTCTGCAGATGTTAGGTAGGAAGGTTTTCTGATGGTTGTCCTGAGCTTGGTGATGTAGAAAAATGAATTTCAGCAGGCTGGCTTGATTGAAGTCATCTGATGTTCCAAAGGTATAGGATCTTTCTTTGTACTTATATCTGAAAACGAAACCTTGAACATTTTGAGCAATAGGAGGAAATCCATTGTTAGGGACCCAGAATGCAGGCTGAAGGTATATTCTAGAAAAGAAGAGGAAGAAGCCAGCTCAGCTACTGAGACAGCTAAGCACAACTAATCAAGAAACAGTTGGCTACTGCACAACTAATCAAGAAGCTGTTGGCAACTAAAGTTACATGTAACCAATCAAGAAGCAAGTCGCTAGTTAGCTATAATAAGGTCATATGATTATTACAAGCAGAAGAGCAATATAAAAAGAGATGGCTGTATTCTGAATTGGGGAAGATAATAAAATATCCTCCCCCAAATTCTTTGTTCTCTCTCTCATCCCTTTCCCTTGTCTAATCCAATTCAGGAGGTAGCTTCACCCTCAAAGGGAAGCCTGTGTTGGGCAGTATCCCAACATCTGTTCAATGGGTACAAGTTACAAATTGAGAAGTGCGGATCTATTGTGGGAGTTGTAATGAATCAAGAGGTTATGCAAGGTAGTGGATTACATTTTTGGCATGGTTTAAACTATCAATACACTCGATATGCAAAAATTGCATATTGGACATTTCAAATGGACAAAATACTTAGAAAAATAATTATAGCTCAAGAATTGAGTCAGGACATCTCCGGAAGGGGCATTACCTCTATAAGTGCCTAGATGTCCTAACTCCTTCTATTTAGTATTTCAGTTACCCAAAGATGCGACATGATACACTCAATACGAGTGTATTGTGTTGGTACTTTGAACCTTGATTTTGGAGTTCCACTTAATGCCTAGTGTAGGCAAGGTTCAAAGTACCGATACAGTCCATTACGCTGAATTGGGCAAATCAGACTATTAGAATTAGTTGACATGGGAATTAATGTCTTTTCCTTGTTATTTTTCTCTCATATATCTGCTGTAACTTATCTCAGGGCATTGTTATCATCTCAGCACTCAGTAAAATGTTAATACAAGTTGAGTTGACAGTACAGAGAGTTGGGCATGGTATCAAAACTTTGAGGGCGATTGGTACTGTTCACGGCACTGTTCTCGTCCCATTTTTTTGTGCTATAGGAATAGAGAATATTCCCTATTCTTCGTTGGAAAGGAAAAGGACTCAAGAGGACTGACCGCCCCCTTGGAAAAGAGGTTTTAATGCCTCAAGTTGTAGTGTTGTGTGAGTTGGTAGTGCTTTTCTAGAGACCCTCTATTTGGCTGTTTGAAGAGGGTGCCTTGTGATGTCTCGAGTTGTGAGGTAAGTTCTCCTCAATGTGTGGTGATTTTGTGGTGGTTTGTTGTGTGATAACATCTTGTGGTAAGTGTGTGTTGTTCCCCTAGTTTTTTTAAAGTAAAAGGGTAGTGATTCTTGGTGTTTTTCCCAAAGAAAAATTGTGCTATCATAGGTGCATACTAGTGATTTCTTCTCATACTCATGGCTTCAACAAGTTGTAAACTAAACCTACGGTAGTTGTGCAATCAGATCTCATGACTTCTCAATTAACTACGATGAAACTTAATGGTACTAATTATATCCCATGGGCCAAGTCGGTTAAGGTATCTCTTGTTCAAGAGGCAAGTTGAAGTACATCATGAAGGGATGAGAGATCCATCATATGGATGGCCGAACCTTGCAGGAAGAAGGTTGGGCGAAATTTCAAAAATTTCTCTCTCCCACGTGGGAATCACATTACCTATTTTAGAAAACTGCATTTTCAAGGATCAATCTTGAACCTAAACCATACCAGATTTGAAACCAAAAGGGAGTGGAGAGTTATACCTGACACGAAGTAACAATAACCTCCAATGAAGGTGTTCACGCCCAAGGAAAGATCCAAAGATTGCTTCCACCGAAGATGACACGGTGCAGGATGAAGCAGAATCAGCAGGATGGCTCTTCAGCAAGAACCTGATTCTTCAGCAAGAATTTGATGGAGGGCTAGTGAGCACGACTTCTGATTACCTTTTCTGCCAAAAGGTAATATCAAGAACACTACTTGATCGCTCCCACAGGTGGAGATCGAACTGGTATGGCGACAAGAGCAAGGAAGAGCAGAAGACAGGAGTAGTCGAACTGTAGGTTATTCTCTCTTTTTAATCTCTGAACTGAGAATTGTATGTTGGAGGTTCTCCCTGCTCCTCTATTTATAGCCTTTAAAGAGAGCATCTCCTAATCCCATTAGGAGTTTCCTAATCCAAATCTTTTTTTTTGGATCTGGACTCTCTTTAAGAGATAAGGATAATAAAGATCAGCCCTCCTAATCGAATTAGGAGTTTCCTGATCCAAATCTTTGTTTGGATCTAGACTCTTTGAGTGGATAGGGACAATCCCTTATCCTATCTACTGATCTAAATCCCAGAACTGCCCCCTTTTAATTAATCTCATTAAGCCAGTTCGAATTGGGCTTTAGGCCCATTAAGTCCATTTGCTCACTTACCCTCCAAATTGCTGCCCAGTCGGATATCCTTGTATGGCGTGGGACCCAAACATTGATCTACACATCAGCCACATGGGTTCAGCCCAGCCTCTGTTACAAGGCCTGACCGAATTCACTGTAGAAGACAGTGAACCCC